TTGCAGACGACCTCGAACCCATCCGCCATGTCCCAGACTGACTCCGAGCCACCGCGGGTTCTGCAGGACAGTGTGGCTAGTATTCAGACTGATCAGGAAGCGCTGGATGCTTTCAACAGCTACATTCGTGGTCCCCTTCGCCGTGCAGTGATGGAGAGTGTCGGAAGTCAGCTCCATGTGCCCTACCGCTTGTGCTTGGTAGCTACTCTGCCCATGACCTTTTATTTGCCTGTGGATAGTTTCCTATGCGACGACGGTTGCAGATCCCGCCATGGGCTTCCAATAATGGAAGAGGCTTTCCTGTCGGAGACGCTATACGGGCTTGCAGTCAGTTGGCTGATTTTGCCCACTTACTACCCTATTCTTCTTCGCCTGCTAAAGCGCGCCTTCACCTTCCAATCAAGCACGTTGCAATTTGTTTTTGCCGCTCTCAGTGCCATCGCGACCTTCAGCTATGGCTCCCTGTGCACCGGCATTATGTATGGACTTACTCGTAACGTGTTCCAGCAGGGCTTGATTGGCTTCATGCCTGTTTACCTTCTGCTGATAATCCTCCTCCTCCTGCAGCTGCGATACCTCTTCGGTACCGAAGGAGGAGCAGCTGCAGGCTCTGCATGCAGCAGACGCCTTCAGCATCTAGTGAAGCTAGTGAGTGTTTCACCCGGAGCTGGGGCTTCGAAGAGTCCGGATATTTTCCCTACTAGGTGAACATGTGTAACGGTTTTGCTGCACAGTCCCACTGTTTGGGGCTACGTTTTCGGGACCCTGTGCTTAAGAGCGTGTTGTTGTGACCCTATAGTCATCTGGGCGCTAGAAGCCCCCAGCCGAATCTTCAGCACCAGTTCTCCGCGAGGTTCTGCTTCAGCTCCTGACCCTATTGCCATGAACGTGCGCCTGTGTTTGTGTTGTAAGCATCTTAGAGACCGGGTATGGGAGCGGTTGCTCTCTGTGAGTGATACGATCTTTGCTCTGAGCTTGAGGAGGCCGCGACTCATCACACCGTTCACGCGAGAATGCGAGAACCCGAATGGACGGAGCGAATTCTAAGCACAGACTCTAACTCTAGCAGAAGTCTCTGACTCAATCCTAAAGAGGGAAAAAACCTTAAACCAAAAAACCCTAAACTCTAAACCCTATAACCCCCCAAAAAAAGAAACCTAAATCCGAAGTGGAGGCAGGAGAACCCCAAGGAGCCGAAACATGGCATCGAATCTCTAAACCCTAAATCCTAAACCCTAAGCCATGCCTGCCTTGGGCGAGTGTGTGAGTCGAAATCCTAAACCCTAAACCCTAAACCCTAAACCCTAAACCCTAAACCGGAATCTGCATGCCAGCCTTGGCCCGGCTGGGCTTCGGCTCACGTCTCACCCCGACTTTCTTCATGGGTAGTTCTCTAAATTCGGGTCCCTTGTAGGGTCCCTTTTCAAAAGGGTGCCGTAACTAATATTGGGGACCTAAAAGGGACCCTAAGTTTGAGAACTACCCTCATGTTGGCAAGCCTAAAGGCAAGTAGATGTATAGGGTTTTTCAAAAACGGAGGCAAGTAGACCTGGGAGATTTCCAGGCCTGGTGAAAAGGCACCGTGTTGGCCGAGGCTTGGGATGGCGCGTGCAGTCGTTTAGGGTCCTTTTGTTCCGGCTCAGGGGTTTCTGAGAAACCCACATTGGGTGGTTGTTAAAATTAGGATCCCTTTTGGGGCACCCTAAATAGTAGGTGCCGTATTATAGTAAGGACCCCAAAAAGGGACCATACTTTTGACAACCACCCACATCATTCTATCTTCCGCACCTTGTCCACTTCACTCTTAACTTCTCAGCCAGAAGTCAAGCATTGGAAATCTCCAAATCCTGCGTTCGCCAGGATGAGAAGGAAAACATCGTGCCGGTGGCCTCTGGCAAGTCGACGAACGAGATCTCCAAGGCCAACGTCATCAGGGTAGCCCAAAGGTCCTGCTGCACTTTGCGTGAGGGTGGGATGTCCTTGGTCAAACAGCGAAAGAAACCAAAATGACACCGACTGTTACAGCATGTTCGTGCACACGGTGCTAGCATTGTGAAATAAGCTTAGTAGAGGCTTTGCTTCGTAACCCACTATCCAGAGAGTGCACATGTAAGTGGACTTGTAGATGCGCGTGAAAACGCCTCGACCACGGGATGATCTCGCGAAGTCGTATAAGATGTGCGGTTTAGGGTTTTGGGTGTTGTTTCTCGTCAGCTGTTGTTAATGCAGCCGCCTCCCCGCAAAGATGATTGCCGGCTTGTATGGAGGTTTTTGCAAACTTCGGCTTGTTGTTGAAGGGCCAAGGCCTAGAGTCCAGAGTGTCTATAGAGATCTGAAAGACCTGGAAATCTCGGATCCCGCAGCGTACCTTGTACGTCTCATGTTCATGTTTACCTCCAAGATGCCATCTCGCTTTCGTTGCAGCCGCAGCTTGTTTGCGGCAACCTGATATCATGGATCGACTCCGCCGACAGGAATCTTTCGATGAGGTGTGCGCAGAAGGGCTGTTCCGTGCCACCACTGTGCCGCGGATTCTCGCCCAACGGGGAGCCATTTTCATGCAAGGTTTGCCAGGTCTTCTCGGTGCAGGTGGATTGCGCTCTGCCAAAATTCCGACTAAGCAGGAGGTGCTTCAAGCCGGATCGTGCATCTTCGAGTCGTCTGCCTGCGTCGAGCATGTGGACATTTTTGTGAGCCATCGCTGGGGTTCCGCCCGCTGGGGGAAGGTCTTGGCATTGTGCCTGTACTCGAATCTGACAGCAGCTGTCGTGTGCTGCCTGACCACCTGGGTTCTGGCTACCGCGGGCATGATCGCCTACGCACATGGCGTGGCAAACCTCGGAGGGAATCTCCTCTTGCTGCCCATCTTGGTCTTTTTCCCGATCGCGGTGTTTCTGGTTGTCTTCTTTTTGGGCCAACATGCCATGGATTGCTTGCAGCCTATGTCGATCTGGATGGACCGAGCATGTATTCACCAGACAGACCACGACTTCAAGCAGCGTCAGATCCAAGCTCTCCCTGTCTTCGTTGCACGGTCCTCCTCCATGGTGGTGCTTTGGGATGATGAATACTTCCGCCGGTCAGCAGAACCCGTCCTCGCCGGACCGGCGGGACATCATTTCCCTCATGATGTGGCGAAGATTCTGCAGTGGTTCATGCTTCATTTGAGCGCCTTTCGGCCGGACAATTTCAACCCATACATTGGACAGCGAGTGGGAGAAGCTTCCAACCCCGGCCCTCCGGGAGGGAGCCGCGCAACAGACAGGCGCAGACAGGAGCAAAGCTTCGATGTTGGTCGCGTCATGGCTTTACTGCAGGAGCTGGTGAATCTGTTGGGAGGGAACGGTGATGCTCTTTCTCAGCTTTCAGGTTTGATTAATGGTTTGTCGGGGGGTACTTCGGGTAACAAGGGGGATGTTGCCGTAGACTCGCCACCTGCCCGGCAGGTTGTCATACAAAAGCCTTCTTCTGAGGAATGGCAAGAAGTGCGTAGAAAGCGCAGACGGGAGGGTAAAGGCCAAGGTGAAGGGATTAATCGGACTCAACCCGTTGCCCCTAACCTCGCCCCAGCCCCCCAAGGACGTGCTGGCTCTGCCGAGCCCTTTGCAGCCGAACAGCCATCAGGAAGGGGCGCACATGCCCCACAACCACAGGCTCGCCCAAAGTTGCGCAAGCAGGACTGGACGGATGAGATCCTCAGTCCGACTCAGGTGTATGCCAAATTGGATTCAGGGACCACTGCCTTGAAAGCTGTTGTGCCTATTTTCACATGTGAGCAGTTGGAAGAACTATGTACGACCGCCGCAGTGCATAAAGAAGTTGCTATTACAGCTGTTGCATTCGGCACTTGGGAGTGGGCCAAGCAGGCCATTGAAAGTGCTGAGCCGTGTAAAACCATTGTGCAGTGTCTGCTTGGCACGGCGACGGTCTCCAGAGAGGTGCGGCTGCATCGTTTAGGAAAGGATTGCCCTTCCATCAAGCAGGTTGTACGCAAAGCCACCGGTGACAAGAAACCTACGGACACGGTTGTGCTTCGATTTGTTGCCGATGCCAGGTTCGTGACCGAGCCCGAGTTTGGCAGTCTTAGGGCGAAGCCGGCGGCGACCATCCGGTCGTGGGCCGCTGCACATGCGCCCGCGGAGGTGCTTTCGATTAAGGACATGTGGGGTTTTAAGGTGATAGGTGACCCAGCCTCCCCCAAAGCCACCTTGTCTGGCCTCGTGCGTGTGGCCGCTCGCAAAGCTGATGTTTGGTTGGCCCTCAGTGGCCGTGACAAGTGGTTCGTGTAGAACCCAGCCGCACGCAGCCCTGTTGAGTGGGTCAAGCGCTTGACTGAAGAGCCCGCTAAGGACTATCTTGAGCGGGTTTTCGCACGGTCCAAAGGCCGAGGGGTTGCTAAGGGTGACTCAGGCCTTGGTGTAAGATTGTCCCCCGAGGAGGCCAGCAGCCGCCCTCGTGTGGTGCCGCTACGCGCCTTTAAGGTCTGGCCAGTGCCACGCGATTGGACACAGGAAACACTTGAACATGAGCTGCGCCAGTTTAAGTTTTCGGATCTCACCCTTCTAGCAAGGTACCCCTGCAAAGGTGGAGTGAAGTTCTTCTATAGGGCTAGGGTTGAAAACCTTGACCTTGCTGTGATTGAACACACCGAAGGTTCCATACAGGTTGTGCTTCAAACTCAGTCGCTTCGCCGAGGCGCGCCAACACCAGTCCGTGCTGGACGAGGCGCCTTTGCGGCCACTGTGACTTCGTTTGATAAGACTAAGACGGCCCCGGTTCCGGCCCCTCCCCCCCAGAGCCAATCGCATACCGATGATGATGCACAGGACCCTTCACGACCGCCGCCCCAACATGCTGCAGCAAAAAGGCAGGCGGTTGCTGCACCGAGTCCGCAGATGCATCAGCTGCCTGAGGGGCTTACGCGAAAGCCCAACCCGGGCAACGGCGATTGCCTTTTCTACTGTCTTGAGGGCCCCACGGGTCAAAACAAGCTGGCTCTGAGGACGGCCGTTGTGGCCCATTTGAGACGTCACGCGGAGCACTATAGAGGCTGCTGGAGCTGCCTGGCTCCTTCCAAGGAGGATGTGCCAATGACGGATTGGGAACAGTACTTAGCCGAGCTTGCCAAGCCTGGCGCTTACACGTCACTCCTCGAAATCCACGCTGCCGCCAGGCATCTTGACAGGCCGATCTACATGTATTCTGATGTCATGCCGCTGCAGGTTTGCAATCGTGCGGGGAAGCATGGGTCCCCAATCTTGCTGTGGTATTCGTCAGCGCATTACGAGCTCGTTGAGGGCTCGTTGCCGGCCAAGGCGACTGCAACCGCCATCGATGCCGCCAGGTCAGGGTGCAAAGGGGGAGCTCGCCCGTCCGATCCCTCCCTTGCCAGTGGCCATACACGCATCTCTGCTTTCTTCGAGGGCGTCCCTGCCCGCCCTGCCGATGCTTCAATTGGTGAGCCCCATGGTGCCTGCCAAACTGCTGTGTCTGAGGCCGCCCTTACACGAGCATCAGCGTTCTCAGGCCTCACTCGCTGGAGCTCAGCCTCCCCGGGGCCCCCCCCAGACCCCCCTTTTCGGCGCAAAAAGGGGGGTCTGGGCAGGACAGGTTTTTCTGCTTTTTCGGCTCCCTCCCAACCACGGGCGCGGGCACCGTGCATGGCCCCTTCTGGCTCACAGATCTCTCTTACGCAATCGTTTGCGCGGGGCCGAGCTGCGGCTTCAGTTGCTGCTTCGGTGCATGCTGGCTGCGTTGACGATGTTGCCTCGGATGTCACAGGCCAGGTCTCAGGCTTCACCCGGGACATCGCCAATTTGAATGACTTGCTCGATTGTGAGTCACCTACTGCTGCTGAGGAGCCTGCTGCTCCGGAGCCCGCTCGTCGTCAACGTCAGGTTCGTCGTCGTGATGGTTGGGAATGCCCCATCTGCAAATGGACTGTGCAATCTAAGTATTGGCCACAGCTCAAGGCCAAACATGTTGAGCTTTGGCATCCGCATCTGCGCAAGTGGCTGCGTTTAGCCCCGCAGCCCAAACCGCGTGAGTACGGCCCACGCCATGCTACTTACTTCAGTAACCTTCGCAGGCGTGCGGCCAATGTCAAGAAGTGTGCCTTCGTCAGCCGGCATGTTCAACAGGCCAAGGCGTACCAAGGGGCCCATGAGATCAAAATCATTCGCATTCCGCAGCCCGATCGAGGCACACACACGCGCTCCGGCAAAGTGATCAAGCGCCGTCTGGTCCCGCCGCCCACGGCGATTTGCCTCAAGTGCACTCGGACTCACCCCACTTTTGATGGACTCGCCTCCCAACCCTGTGATGCCAATGGTGTAGGCGGGCCAAAGCGCCATCAGCGCATGCGCAGGCTTTTGGCCCTTGTTGAGGATGACGATGCCGACGTTGAGCAGCGCGAGCTTGCGGCTACGGCCTACCGTCTTCTTACCCCGCCTGCTGTGCATGCCGCCTCGTCATTGCAGCATAAGCGGGTTCGCTACAACTGGCCACTGCCAGGCATTCCTGTCTCTAATGGTCATGGGCCCAGCTCCTTTTGCACTGTCTGCCTTCGTGTTACTACCCAGAAGCGCAGCCTCATGAGCACCAGTTGCCCTGGCCGCGTCACTTGGAGCGCCATGCGTGAGGCCACCATTCGTGTGTTACAGGCCCACCTTCCCTGCCCTAACCCTAAGCAGGATGCTCGCGTCAGGAGGCTGTTGTCCCTGCTCCACTCCGCTGCGCGTGGGAGCTCATGACGTCGCCTCCTTCACTTCTTCGCCTGGGGACACTCAATGTCCGAAGCCTCGGTGGCAAGCTGGGGGCGGTTCTTTCTTTGATGCAAGCGCACAAGCTCCATGCTCTCTGCCTGCAGGAAACCTGCCTTTCTGCCGATTCCATGCCTGCTGTTTTTCAAGCTGTCTCTAAGGCAGGTTGCACCTTTTTCCCTGGGACTCAATCCTGCACCTCCCGTGGTGCGCCGCATGCCGGTGTTTCCTTTGTGACCCGTTGGCCCGCCCAGGCCGTCGTTATGCCCGATTGGCCCAATGCTACTGGCCGCGTCGCGGCTCTCCGCATCTTCCGTCCCCGTGCACGGCCTCTCCTTTTGATAGGGGTCTACCTCCACGCAAGTGACGCCTTCGCTGCTGCCACTCTGTTGGACACGGTGCTCCCGTGGGCAGCTTCGCTAGGAGAAGCCTTTAGCATTTTGGGTGATTTTAATTTACCCAAGTCGCACTGGCCTACCTCTTACGCGCTTGCCTCTGGCCGTTTGTTTGATGCCGACGAGGCTGCTGGCGACACCGCTCAGCTGCCGGGCACGCGGCGCAATGCTACTGGCGACCTGACGGGTAATGTTATAGACTATATGCTGCATTCCTCTGCGCTGCATGTGCGTGCTCGCTTTCAGGAGCGCGCGGTCGCCGACCATGACCTTGTGTATTATGATGTGCCTATGCACGGTCAACCGGCCCGTTTGTCTTGGCCGCCCAAGCCTCGTTTGCACACCAACTCTGTTTCTGAGGATCAGTGGGACCTCGTCTGGGCTGTTCACAAGCCTGCCTTTGATGCTGCCCTTACTGCCGGTGACGTTGACACGGGTTGGGCGCTGATGTCTCGGTGCTTCGCCCAGCTTCTTTGTGACCGTGTCCCGTCACGCCTTCCTGAAGCTGCCACTGGACCCCAGGCCTGTTCGTGTGAGCCTCACCGTAAGGCTCCAACGTACCAGTCCTTTTTAGAACGCCGCCTCCGTCGTTTGGGGAGACGGGCGAGCGAGTTTGCCAAGGACTGCGGCAATCAGCCTCTTTTTCAAGCTGTGCACCGTGACGTTCATGACTTAGCTACTCACTTTCCGTTGCTTCTCTCTTTGCCTTGGGGGAGCCCTGCTGCCGCGCAACGGGTTTTTGAGTTGGCCGACCAGCAAGCGGATCAGGACCGAATGGCTCGTTTGCAGCACTGGCAAGCCACAACAGGTGAGGACTTTACTAGGTTGTGTCAATGGGTCCGGGCCACTTTGCCGGCTGACCCTGTTCATCGGCCCGACCAGGATGAATGGACCACCCCTCTGCATCCGCAGGCTCAAGCTGAGCATGCTCGCAGCACCTGGGCAGACCTCTGGGCTCCTGCTCAGCTTCCTGCGCCGGAGGGCTTTGAGCGCTTGCGTCACTTGGTTGGGCCCACTGCTGAGTTTCCGCTGCCTTCCGTGCCCGGGTCTGCCCTGCACTCGCGATTTAAAGCCACGGCCAAGAAGTCTACAGGCTTGGATGGCTGGGGCGCTGATGCTTTTGTCGCTGTGGGGCCTTCTGCCTCTGAAGCTCTGGCCCAACTCTGGGCTGCCTGCCTCCAGCATGAAGCACTCCCTAGCATTTGGAAGCAAATTCGTGTGGCCCTTCTTCCTAAACATGACGGAGGGCTCAGGCCTATTTCGGTGGCTTCGGCTGCTTACCGGGCCTGCATGACGTGCCTCCTGCGTGCCTGCCGCTCCTGGTTTCTTAGCTGGGCGGATCCTGAGCTCGTTGGTGGCATTCCTGGCAGGGGCATCGCTCAAACTCATGATGCTTTGTTCTCCTCGCTCCTCGAGGCACGCAGCCGTCACCAAGTCTTTGTCGGTGCTAAGCAGGACATTCGTAAGTGCTTCGACACGGTCCAGTGGGACCTTGCTCTGCAAGCTTGGGCTTGGCTTGGAGCCCCATCCAAGCTGGTTTCTTTGCTTCGCTGTTTTTACACCGATCAGCGCCGCTGGTTGGCCGTGCGGGGCCATTTCGCGGCTTCCCCGGTCACCCCTAGTCGTGGCATCCTCCAGGGCTGCCCCGCTAGTGTTGGGTTGCTTAATAGCTTGATGCTTTTGTGGGTTCGTAGCATTAGGGCCGCTTCGCCTAGCATTTGTCAATCGATCTTTCTCGATGACCGCGCTTTGTGGGCCACTGGCCGTGCTGCTCCTGAGAACTTGCTCACTGCACTCCGCCAGGCAGCAACCACCGACCGAGCCCTTGCTTTGAGTGTCCATCCGGACAAACTTGCCTGCTGGGCCACACGCGCTGCTGCTCGCAGACAGCTGAATGTTGAGGCTGACTTGTGCGGCCCGATGGTTTCCTCCTTTAAGCTTTTAGGGGTAACCTACCGCCTTTCCACTAGTGCTGGCACTGTCGATGCCGCAACCCTGACAAAGGTCATCCAGGCCAGATGCCGCCGCATCGCTTTGGCTGCTAAAGTGCTTTACATGCGTCGTCTTTTGCTGCAATCGTTAGTTTTGAGCCTGGTCTCCTGGCTCGGGCCCTGGTCCACTGTGCCTGCCCGCACCTTGCAAGGTTGGACTCGGTCCATTGAGGCCGCTGTTGGCCGCATCGTCACAGGCCGCTCGCTCTTTCTCCTGTGGTCCGCCTGGGCACGGCCCCGCTTGCACCCGCAATTCGCGCTTGCATTTGCTGCTATTCGCCATGAAATGCGTCGCATGGGTGGGTCCCAGCCTCCCGGGCCCGGCGCGGCCCCCTGTCCCGCCTTGTCGGCGTCTCTTGCCGTGTTTGCTTGGTCCATCCTTCCTGACGGGACCTGGGCCACGCCGTTTGGGCAGTTTCAACCTGGCTTCCTTTCCGCGACTGTCGCCCTACGAGTCGCTGAGGACTCCTGGGCGCGGCTTGCTTGGGCCGATGACGCCAAGACCTCTGGGGCTCTGGCGGCTCATGAGCATGTGGCCTTGGCTTTTCACCACCGCGCGGTCTCGATGCCGACCACTGGGGCCACGCGTCGGGTGCTTCTTGCAGCGGCGCATGACGCCCGCACCCTCCGACGCATGGAATTGCCTTTTACTGCGTGCTCCTGCGGAGACCCTCTGCCCACAAGGACTCACGTCACTTTCGACTGCCCTGATGATGTTTTTACCGGTCAGCGCCGCTCCTCCGCAGAGCATCGCCTTCTCGTGCCACTGGTGTCTGGGCTGTCTTCGCCTTCCTGGCACCTGCCTGATGTCAGTGAAGACCTGTTACTTGGTTTATCTCAGGCCGCGATTGTGGGCCATGCTTTCCTCGTCGCCACGGACGGGAGCGCCTTGCAAGCACCGGCTGTGCGGGACCTCGTGTGGTTCCAGCACGCCGGGTGGGGCATTGCCACTTCAGAGGTTTCGGGTTTTTCGGGGGTCGTTCCGGGTTTGGACCGTTCGTCTGCCGCAGCTGAGCGGTACGCGCTTCTAGTGCTTGCTCACGCCGCTCGCGTGCTGGGCGCGCCGGTGTGTGTCTTGACCGACAACTCTGCATTGGTTGATGGCTTCGCTGCTACCAAGCATACCGAATTCGCGGCCTACTGGGCCATGATTCGAGCGCTTTTGCCTGCTGGCTCTTCAGTGCATTGGGTCCCGGCGCATGGCCGACACGAAGAATGGACCTCTCGAGTGCCACTGGTGTCCACTCGACAGGCTCGCGCTCTCAATGATCGTGCTGATCAGGCGGCGGTCGCTGCTACGACCCCTGCGAAACCTGTTTTTCATGCTACCATGCGTGCTTGTCGTGAAGCAGCCAGTTGGGCTGAAGTTGCTGTGCGTCGTCAGGCAAGGCTCACACATGACTGGCATGATGCTGTGGCCGCCCAGTCTCGTGTCAGGGCTAGCCTGCGAGAAGAGTGATCGTCTTGCCATGCGAGAAGAGTGATTGTCTTGACCGGCTGTTATCCCACCTTCGGGGCAGGGTGCAGTCACGCTAATACCAATACCAATGATGAATACTTCCGGAGGCTTTGGTGTCAACT